TACTTCTAAAAGTTTTATTACCTTCCTATCTTTTATTTATATTTTTCTACTTTATATTTTAATTTGGCTCTTCTATAATAAGATCCATATTATCTTCTTTCATCATATAACCATATTACAATACAAAAATGGATTATAAGAATTTTGAATATATTATGTCAATTTATGTTTTGAATCATTGCCATGCTCGTTAAAGCATGTCTTTGTCAAAATTTGAGTTCAATATTACTTATTGGCTAGGAAAATAAAAAAATTTGTTTAATGCTCTTTTTAGAATTTCTTATATTATACTTAAAGAAGAAAATAAACATTGATTGTTAATTCAACTTTTTTCAAATAAATTCAATTAAATATGTCCTTTGATCCTCTTGTTTATGATATCAAGAATACTTCTTCTAAGTCATGTGATACTTCTATGTTTGAGTTTAAGAACAATCTACTTAATTTCAAAAAATACTCATATATACCAGAAGAAGAAGCACGTCACGACTTTCTAATAGCAAGATATTTTGGATCCAACAAGACTTTAAAGCTAATATTCACAGATTTTTTGTATTCACAAATATGGAAGACTGTAAAAGACTTTGTTCAATCATGTGACATTTGTTCAAGGTCAAAAACTCCTCGACATTGATCTTATAGACTTCATCAACCATTACCTATTCTAAAACAACCATGGTCTTTTGTTTCTATGGATTTTATTACGGATCTTTCAGTCTCAAGATTGTGTGATTATATATTTGTGATAGTAGATTGTTTTATCGAGATGGCATATTTTTTACCATGCAGAAAATCTATTACATGTGAAAAAACTACTAAGCTCTTTCTTGACAATATCTATGGATATTATAGATTATTGAAAGATACTATATTTGATAGGAGACTCAATTTATATCAAGATTTTAGAAAATTCTTTTGTAGATTTTAAAAGTAAATGTAAAACTTTCTTTGGCCTTTTATCCTCAAATTGATGGATAGACAAAGTATGTAAATCAAGTTTTAGAATAATACTTAAGAAGCACCATCAATTATCAACAAGACAATTAGAGAACCCTCTTATCATTGGCACAATTTGCTTATAATAATACAATGCATTCTTTTATGCAATAAATACCTTTTTTTGCCAATTATGGTTACCATCCTTGACTTGATACTTTTGATTTTTTAAAAGTTGATAATCTTATGGCAGAAGGTTTGGCAAATTGTTTGTCAAAACTACATGCAACAATGAAGGTGCAATTAAAGGAAGCTCAAGAATGACAAAAGATCAATAGGGATGCCTATCAAAAGGAACAACCACAATTCAATGTAAGTGACAAAGTATGGTTACTTTGTCGTAATATCAAGACTACTCATCCTTGTGATAAGTTGGACTATCATATGCTTAGACCTTTTGCTATTTATGGACAAATTAATCTAGCTGCTTATTGATTATACTTACTAAAGTCAATGAAGATACATCTTATTTTTCATGTGTTTCTTCTTGAAACATACAAGACTATGAACATACCAAAAAGAAGACAAGCTCTACCTCTTCTTATAGAAGTGGACAATAATGAAGAGTTTGAATCAAAAAAAGTTCAAAACTCAAGGCGAAGCCAAAATAAATTAGAATATCTTGTTCATTGGCATGGATATGATATTAATGAATGCACATAGGAGCTAATAAAGAATCTTACAAATGTAGTAAAAGTAGTGGAGACTTTTTATTGATGACATCCATCAAAACCAATATGAAAAATAGTAAGTCTTTGCTATAAAAGAGACAAGGTCTAGAAAAGTTTGTATTCTATCTTTTCTCTTTGTTTGTATTTTTTCTATATTTGTGACATTAAAGAAATAGAGAACCAACAACCAATAGATTTAACTCAAAAGCCCTCATTTTTTGACTTACCAAATGAGACATTGCAATTATCACAACATTTGAGACAATGCAATCAAGATGAAGATCCTCAAGAACAACATGTTTTTCTTTGAATAGATGCTGATATACAACACATTTGGTATCATGACCTTGGAAGGGACTCTCAATATTTGGTGATTTTATTAGAGGTAGGAACAATTCTTAATAGTGTTCTAAATATTTTGTTTGAAGAAAGTAATGAAGGCATCAACAATGATCAAATAATTGGGTGGTCTTCCTGCCCTTATATGGGACACTATTGATAGTTGTAAGGCCCTATCAACCATCTTCAAAGAAAACAATGATCAGAGTATGTGGCAAATATAATTCGCTACATCTTTGATTTCTTTAACATATAATGATCGCTCTTCATAGAATTTGTTCCTTGAAGGAGAAGTAATGTCACGAACATACACATGTAAATCAATAATTACCTATATGATTAGATAAAAGTAGATAAAAATAAGTTAATTCCATAATATCTTCTATAGAAGTGTCCTAGAAGCTTCATAGATGTTGTTTTGACTTTATAGATGTCTATAATTGACTTTTTAGATTAAGAACATGGTCAACAAGTTTGCCATGTGCTACACATGTTAGTAACTTAAAGAACAAGTTAATTATATGGCCCATTCATAAAAACTTGCTTTATCAGCTAAAGCATGTATATTGTAAAGTCAACACATATTAGAGGTTCTATAGAACACTGCCACATAGCTCTTAATTAGATAGTATATATAGAAGCAAGAAAAAAAACCTTCTTTATTCTTGTCAATTTTTTTCTTACTTCTAGTCTAGATTTAAGAGTCTCTAATTTCCTTGTCTTTTGGCAATAGCTATTCCAATTTTTTTTAATATACATATTACTTTATTGTTATTTTGTTAGTTTTTTTTTGACACAGATTTTTCAAATTTATGCATCTTCTTCTTGTTGATATCCTTGACACTCATTATAAATAAATATATAAACAAAAAATACAAGATTAAGAAGAACAAGTTGAATAAAATGCACCTTAAAATGTAAAGCTAAATAAAATGATAAAGTTGATCTTGAAAACAAAAATATTAAAAATTTGAGGAGATTTTTTTTTCTCATAGAAATAAAGGTCTGTAGTGGACTATGGTAGACAATGATAAGGGGCAATAAAGTACAATAACTTCATAGGAAGGTGTGGTAGTTGATGGCAAGGTGCGACAAATGGTGGCAAGGCATGAAAGTTTGATAGCAAGGTGTGACAAATGACGGTAAGGCATGAAAGTTCAATAGATAGGTATGGCAATTGGTGACAAGGTACGGCAGTTTGGCAGTAGTGTGCAGTAGTTGCTGGTACGATGTGGCACAACACAGCGTAGCAATAGCATAGCATCACAGTAAGGTGCAATATAGCAACAGGATATTGTATAACATAAGAACAATACAATAGCACAACATAGCATATCAACATTATAACTAGATATAAATAAGATGTTTGTATTATTGCCACATAGGGATAAATAGTTAGAACCATGCTTGAGAAGTTATGGAAGTTTCTAGAATTGAGATTAGGTTAGTGGACGAAGATCTACCATGGAACCTTCTAGAAAAGACTTAAGGTAGTTATCTACGTGGATTCCACTATAGAATCTTCTAAAAAGAGTTTAAGGCAATTATCAAGTGAGATCCATCATCTTGAAATATTCTAGAAAGTCCAAGGTAGTAGAACAAAGTATAAATATAATTGACCAAGGCCTTTTGAGGTATCTAATGAATTATGGCTTTGAATTCTTTCTCTTAATATAATTGAGTTATGTATTTTCTTGTTCTGTTCTTTTTTTATTCTAATTCTAGTTTCTCAGTTTTGTCTTTAACGTCTCATTCTATTTAGTTCTATTTAATTTTGTTCTAATCCAATTTGTCTTATCTTGTGATGAGGTTTTATATTATTGTAGATTAGAAGGATCTTGGACACTTGAGATAGACTGATCATGTTTCAAGCATAATAGTAGCAGCAACATAGCAGTAGGATAAGAGAAAAAATCAAAGAAAAAGCAAAAGATAAAGTGCTTATAAGTTTTTAAGAATCAAGATTAGTGCATAAGAGCAATCATGCTAGTAATGTATTAAGAATGTTTGGAGAGATACAATAGTAGTTAGAAATAATATGTACAAAAAACACACACACATAAGAGGGAGTATATTGATTTGGTTATCTCACATATACAAAGAAAAGGGGAGAAGATAAATAGTTTCTCTCCACTACATTCTAAACACTGTAGCTAGAGTATTTATTGTAAACTAAAGTAATATTTTGGAGAGTGCTGGCTACATTTAATGCTCTCAACAGTGAGGATGCTATGTGATATGTTTTAGCCCCTGAATACTATAACTACTTTTAAAAGAGAAATGTGCCACACTTTAGATATGGACCTTTTAATATTATTATTATTTTATTTTGTATACCTATTCCTTCACTGTCAAACCTCGTCAGCACGTTCTTCGAAACTACGCAGCCTCTGCATGAAATTTTGCCCACGTCACCGGTCGCCGTCTGCAAAAAACCGTCATACACGGCGATCAGGCTTGTCCGCGGGCATCGAAGGACGATGAAACTTCCGCCTCCGAAGGCCGTGGCGTATCTATTACCGATTCCAAGTCTGCGCGGAGCCTTCGGGAAGAGAGAGCCCCCAGGGTCAATGCTGTGACACCGAGTTGGGGGGGAGCATATTCCAAGGCGGGCGGAGAATCGTCACCAACGAGGAGGAGGGCCAGTTGGATTTTGTTTTGTTTTTCCACCGTACCGACAGTTGTGGCACGCTGGATTCTGGTCTTCGCTGCAGACGTAGTAGTGTATTGTTTCACCTTAGGGCTGCAGTAGCCCAGCTATGGGATTTTGGCTAGTGGGTCCCCGAAATTGGTGATCCGAACTGTCACCTCCGCCAGCAATCAGCACGTCGGTGCTGCCTCTACCGATTCGGCCAATAGCAGCTCTCTAACTGCATATAATCCGGACTGGCAGGGGCTTGTCTTTCATGTGGGTTTTCGCCCTTTTCTCTTGTATTTCTGATTATTTTTTGGTGGTTAGTTGGTCGTTTGCTATGGTGAGGGGACGCGTTGCTACGGAATTGTTGACTGGCGAAAGTAAAGAAATCATCAAGGGTGTGCTGAAAATAGCGTACGATACAATCGTATCCGGCTACTTGGAACCGTGTGAAGCTTTTCACGCGGAATGTTTCAAGAAGATGCGCGGTTAATAATCCTTTTTTTATACTAGCTGAGGTCGTCCCACCTATCTCATCACCGTTTTCTAAGGATTCAAATCCTCTGACTTTCCCCCGATGACTACTTTCGAGCGCCCGGCTCTCTGTAGATCTATCTCGTATTCTCTCTGGGTTGGGTTTCATTGTCGAGTGTTTTGTTGGAAGCTTTGCTCTCCTCCCGTCAGCTTTCTCAACTCCCCCTCCCCCGCCGAACCTCACAGGTTCAGCTTCTACTGCATTTCCTGGTTTTTTTATGCTTCCTTTTGCTACCCTTGATGTGTGCCGTAGCCCCTGCGAATTGCCATCTCTCTCGCGGCGACGACTATTGTGGCAGGAGTGAGTAGAATGGGTGATTGCTTCAGGGATGTGACTCATTTGAAGTACTCGTTTTAATGTCCTGCCTTCTTATCAGATTTTAATGCCTCGATGTTGTCTTCGAAACTCCAGATTTTGGTAAACTAGCTTTCGGAAGATGGCGTATGCTGAAAAGCACCACAACGTGCAAGGTCAAACCCTAGACTTGAATGGTAAGTGCTATACGGTTTACTTATTTCACCTGCTCTTTTGTGATCCCCATAGCGTTCTTCAGCTCTTGCTTATGGTTTTAAGAAGAACCATCAAAGGATTGATCATTATTATTGTCTTTGAACAGTGGTGGGATGTGCCAACTTGAGCGACAAGGAGTGGTTTAGTAGACAAGATCCCTACGTGATTATTGAGTACTCCGGTCAAAAATACCGCACTCGTACCGACACAGGTTTGATTGTGTGTTTTCACCTTCCAGCTTACTTCTACTCTGCAAAACTTTCAAACTAGAAATTTTATGGCGTGTTGGACTTGCGAAGGGAATATGGTTACATCGTGCAACTTGTTTGGTACTCTAGATGGAGGAAGGAACCCATCGTTCAACGAAACTTTCAAAATATCTCTCATCGAAGGGCTTCGTGAGGTTCAAGCCCATGTATGGAACAGTAATACTCTCGAACGTGATGATTACATTGGCAGCACCAAGTAAGTACTGTTCATGCAGATGCTTCCCATCCCGCCAGCACCTGTTGGTTTTATTTGCATGATTTACTTGTTGGAATCATGGTGATCGAGAATGTCTTCCCTTAATAACGATAATTGTTTTTGTTTTTTTTATGTACTTTTTTTTTCGCCCTACTACAGGATCTGGCTCAACAAGGTGATCGATTCTGGGTACGATGATACTCAATGGCCGCTGACGAACTCCAGAACACTCAAATCTGCTGGAACGTTGAAGTTGATTCTTCACTATGGCGGAAGTGGGAAAAATGTAAGTTGGTGACTCGCCTCGGTTCAAATCCTGTCGTGTTTGCTAGGATTGATGCATTCTCTCTCGTATTTGCATCCAGTACCAGTGGATCCTTAGAATGCCGAATGAAGCTCCGAGTCTGCATCTTTAATCGCTCACAAACAAATGGAAATTACGATTGTCTCACATTGTTGTCATCTGCGTACGCGCAGAAACCAGCTAAATGTGAGCAGACCGCACATCCGCCAGCACCTCATGGGGTCTATACACAACCTGGTCCTTCATATGGGTATCCCACTCCACCTTACGGGGTTCCTGGTCACCAACCTCATACTGCATACCCTCCTGCAGGCTATTGTGCTCCTCCACCTCCACCTTCAGCGGGTCCACAAACATTCATTCCTGTATACTCAGCACCACCTCCGGTTCCTTACCCTCGACCTCAACCTCAACCGGTTGCATACGTTGCGACTCCCCCTGCTCAGCCTCCATATTACCATCCTGCTTCTGCACCTGTTCATCCTGGTGCCCCTGCCTACCATAATCCTGGGTACCAAAATCCTGCATACCAAAACCCTGGATACCCTCCGTCCGGGTATCCTCCATACAATCCATATTAGGCTAGGCAGTGACACATAGTTAATGGTTTTGTAGTCATGGGTGCTACATGCCGCGTGTATATAGATTAGGTTGTCCAATTTTGAGTGGCGTGAAAGTGTATTTCTGAGTAGCCTTGTCAAGCAATCTCGATTTATTATGTCAGGTAAAGTCTTGAATTCTTGCCCGTGTTGCAAGTGGTATCATGTCAATTTGTAGCAAGTTGCAATGCGACGTGTGTGGAGAATGACGAAGTGCAACTGCTCTGTATCGTGAGTTCCTCAAGATTGAATATTGGCATCTGTAGAGTCGTAGTTAACCTTCCTCGTCACATATTGCCACTGTTTTTTGCATACCGCATGTGCCAATAAACTCAAAAAATTTAATCTTTAATGATCCTCACCTTCATGCTAAGAAACTGATAACCAGATTTTTTTCGCTATTCTCTGATTATAAATCATTGTACTATATGAATATTCACACCTCAATTGGTTTGTTGAAAAAAGATTATATCATAATATTAATTCATTACAGTAACAGACTTACATGTGCACCGTTGTTCCCTAAAACTGACTCGTTCAGTGCGCAAACACACATTGTAAACATGGTAAATAGTTTTGTATCAAATATACCTAGTTTACATCAGTGTGCTGACAGCAGCATCTGCTTCGCACATCAGTGAGTGATGCTGGCCAATTTTTGCAACCATTCCAGCCGAATGAGCTACACAGTTGCTGGTGAGAGAAGATATGAATCAAAGATGACGATTAGTGGCCAAACGTTTGAAGTCGAATGCAAACTGAGTTAATGATCACTTTTTTGTCGGACACATACGGGTTGTCCATCAAAAGTACAGGTTGCCCGATTACTACGTAGATAACTGGATATCATGCCTGCATGATTGTAACGAAGTCATATTTACAAATCCCTGCATCAGAAAGAGTGGAATCAGAACGCACGTACAAACAATCATAACTAAAAGTAGTTGACTTGAAGGATCTGAAACTTTAAAAGTGCTTTTATGTCCATTACTGGTGCAATCTCACACTTCTGTTGACCATTTGGATCTGAATAAGAGCTTCATCAACTATTCTACCTGATGTTAAAGAATCAATTTCAGCTGGATATTGGCCGGCAACCACGGTCCTTCAGCTTGGCAGCATTCAATGTAGCACAGCGATGAACAAATGTCTTCGCTCAAAAGGCTGATGTAATTTGCAGTCGTGATCACAAGCTCCTCTACGCTACTGCCTTGAAAGTCACTTGGAGATTGCATAACCTTCTCATGAGAAAACTGTCATTTCTGCGGTTGCTTGAAAATATTTCGTCGCAGATATTTGAGCTCTGCAATACTCTCCTTGATGTCGGCTAAGGATCGATGCTGGAGTTGCTTAGCCGGTTGCTTTTCGGCTTCTCTCGGATACCAACGCACACAGAGCGCTCGGATGCTGCTCACATCAACCAACACATGAGAAAATTCGGCAGCTAAGGTGGGCATGTACTTATTCAAGAACCGGAGATCCACATATACTGAGTTCCCAGCAAGCAAAGGTTGTCCAGAGTTCCCTCTAGTGTACTTGCGAACAAACTTCAACACCTCTTGCTCAGCTTCTTCTTCTGTCACTGAACTTGCCCGAACACCATCCATCAGCCCGCTTGCAGCATGATGCTCTCGAAACGATACATCCATCCCTTCGAGGATCTCTTCTGGCTGCGAGACGATTATATCCGGACCCTCAAACGTCCTCTCCAACCTGCCGTCTGTCACTACACAAGCAATCTCCAGGATCCTGTCTTTCTCAATGTCTAGCCCCGACATCACAAGATCAATCCAAACAAGCGGCATTCGCACGCGCCCCACCTTGACATCCGCAGAGACCTCTTCTTCCTTCCTTCTTCCTCCACCAGTTTTCTTCTTCTTCCCATTGCCGGAACTCTTCGCCGCGCCGCTTCCCTGCGAAGCCCCTGCATCTTTCTGACTACTTCTCTGATCCTCGTCTTCGTTGTCGTCGAGCGAAGCAAGCGCAGAGTAGTAATTTTGAGGCTTTTCCATAGCAAACCCCTCAAGCTCAAGCTTATCTCCTAAAATACCGTGAAAAATGTACAAAAAACTATTCAAACCCTAACTCGCCAATTACAAACTCAGCAGGGCAATCTGTAAGATTGTTCAATCAAATCTCCCTTCAGAAGCCACCCGAAATCAGGACTTGCACTCTACAGCACAAGAGCTTCATAAAAAATTCGTACCCCATGGGATCTGATCAACTCGCGCAAAAAATTCATAAAATTCCTTGAGCAACGCAAATCTCTTTACTATTAACTCAATCCAGTTCTGCCTCGCTAATTTCGGAGCAGAATTCCAAAATACGAGGGGTCGTTCGGTGCTTCTCCGCAAGAGCTATCGCTTCAGATGACTGCCACAAGACGTCCCGCAACAAGGTCATGCAGATTCAAACTTGAAATTAGCACATGGTCGCAACAATCCAATGCAAAGCTGCCATCGCCCCAACGAGAGCTGACAGACTCAGAGCAGAGGATGTGGATTCAGGACCCCAAACTTCTCCTCACGTGTGGTGATAGGTTCAGTAAAGGAGGACCTTATAACCGATCCTCTTCAAAAACCTAAATCTGATCGCCTCCACGTAGTTAGATTTCAATCTTTCTTCTATTAAAATTATACTGAAAATGCTCTTTAAATTTATAGCAAAGCGTTTTTTTTAATTTTTACTATATTTATTATTTTTATTTGGTATTTTTAAAAATGGCTTTTATTACTTAGTAATACTAATTTAGCAAAAAAAATCTTGTGCATTTTAAATTTATAGTATTTGCAATCAAGATAATGTATAAGCTTGTGTCAATTTTGAATAGTAGATTTTTTTTCAAAAAATATTTAAATTTTTGATGTATACTTTTCCAAATTCTATGCACATGATTATTTTTTTTTTATGTATTATTTTTTATTATAATTTTTTATGTATAATTTATCTAATTTTTTATTAAAATTATATATATTATATATATATATATAATTTTTTTAATAAAAAAATAGATAAATTAAAGAATGTAAATAAAATAAATAAAAGAGTACTAAATCCCAAAGAGATAACATGAAAAGATAGTATCTTCTACATACTCCTATGTAGTACTATGAAACAACCAAATAAATCAAAAAACAATGTAACTTATATTTGGTTCTCACTCTTAATAAATCTATCCACTTGTCAATTGATGAAGTGGATAAAATAACATAATAGTGCTTTTAATTCCATGTAGTAATTAAAAATGTTAATGAAGAGGGTATTATTGCCTTGTCATTATCATCTATAAAGTATCCAAAGCATGATAGTGAGAAGTTTCTATAGATGGTGAATGATAAGATGATAATAACACAAAGCTCAATTAGAGCATAAAATGGAATAATGGCATTAAAAATCTTTAAATATAAATAGATTTTTTTACATATCTTTGAATAATTAGGCACTAGTGGTATTTTTATTTTTTATTTTAACATAATAAATTATATATATATATATATATATATATATATATATATATACTACTTAAGAATACATGTGTCATATGTAAAATTCATAATATATAATAATTTCTTAATCTTTGATGGTGTTATTGTCAAGGACAAGAACATGATGAAGATAAATAAACAAGTGAGACTTCTCTCATAGAAAGATGACAAAATAGAAATAACTTGATATATATATATTAAGAAAGAAATTGGAATGGCTATTGCCAAAAGCCAAGAAAACTAGAGATCCTTGAAACTAGACTGGAAGCAAGAAAGGAGTTGACAAGAGTGAAGAAGGCTTCATTCTTATCTCTATATATACTATCTAACTAGGGCTACGTGGCGACGTTCTATAGGACCTCCAATATGTATTGACTTTGTAGGACACATGCCTTGACTTACAAGGCAAGTTTATCTACCTGTGGGCCACATAGTTAGCTTGGTCTTCAAGCTAACAACATGTGTAGCACATAGCCAACTTGTTGACCACGTTTTTAATCCAAAAAAATCAATTAAAGATACCTATAAAGTCAAAGCAGCATCTATGAAGCTTTTAGGAAGCTTTCACACCAAATACTATAGAATTAACTCATTTTTACCTACTTTTACTTACTTCTACATATATATACATGTAATTATTGGCTTACATGCATATGTCCGTGATATTATCTCCTCTTCTAGGGATGAGTTCCATGTGGAGCGGTAATCATATGTTGATGAAATCTATGAAAGAACGAATTGTATTTGCCACATACTTTGATCTTTGTTCTCTTCGAAGATGATTGATAAGGCCTCTCAACCATCGGTAGTGTCCCATACCAGGGCGGGAAGACCACCCAATTATTTGATCATTGTTGAGGCCTTCATAACTTCCTTTGAATAAAACATTTGAAACACCATCAGGAGTTGTTCCTACCTCTAGTAAAATCACCAAACATCGGGAGTCCCTTCCCAAATCGTGATACCAAACGCGTTGTATCTCGCCATCTATTCGAGGAAGAATATGTCATTCTTGAAGTTCTTCATCTCGATTGTGTTGTCTTGAAAGTTGTGACAATCATAATGTCCCGTCCTGCAGATCAGCAAACGAAAGCTCTTGAGTTGAATCCGCTGGTTGTTGGTTCTCCATTTCCTGAGCGTCACAACTAAAAAGAAGCTACAAACAAGGATTGAAAGTAGAATGTTATCTTACCTAGATCTTATTTCTTTCATAAGGAAGGTTTTCATCTTGATTTTGATGAATGTCGTCGATGAAAAGCCTCCACCACTTTTGTTGCATTTACAAGATTCTTTACTGGCTTCAATTTGCATTCACTTATATCATATCCATGCCAATGGACAAGATATTCCAATTTATTTCGGTGCTGCCTTGAATCTAAGACTTCTTCCACTTCAAACTCTTGATTATTATTCACTTCTATATGACGAGGTGGAACTTGTCTTTTTCTTTGTATGTCCATTGTCTTGTATGGTTCAAGTAGAGACATGTGCAATACTAGATGGATTTTCATTGACTCCGGTAGATATAAACAATATCCAATTGGATTGATTTGTACAGAAATAGAAAATTGTCCAAGTCTTCGATAGTCCAATTTGTCACAAAGACGAGTGGTCTTGATATTGTGATGAAGTAACCATACCTTATCACCCATGTGGAATGTTGGTTGTTCCTTTCAATAGACATCCGCATTGATCTTTTGTTATTCTTGAGCTTCTTTCAACTATGCCTTCATCGTTGCATGTAGCTCTAACAAATGAATTGTCAAATCTTTCGCAGCAGGATTATCAACTTTTGAAAAGTCAAAAGTATCAAGTCGTGGATGATAACCATAATTAGGAAAGAAAGGTGTTTGTTTTGTAGAAGAATGTACCGTGTTATTGTAAGTAAACTTTGCCAATGGCAAAAGAGTTGTCCAATCATCTTGTTGATAGTTAATGGTACATCTTAAATACTACTCTAAAACTTGATTAACATGCTCCATTTGTCCATCAGTTTAAGATGGAATGCCAAAGATAGTTTTATATCCACTTTTAGAATCTTGAAAAGACTCTACCAAAATCTTGATACAAATTGAGTTCTCCTATTTAATATAATATCCTTGAATAATCCATGATAGCGATAGATATTGTCAAGAAAGAGCTTAGCTATTTCTTCACCTATGATAGATTTTGTACATGGTACAAAATGTGCCATCTTCGTAAAACGATCTACTATCACAAATATAGAGTCATAAGAACTTGAGATTGAAAGATCCATGATAAAATCCATAGAAATAGAAGACCATGGTTGTTCTAGAATGGATAATGGCTGAAAAAGTCCCTAAGGTCGATGACAAGGAGTTTTTTATCTCAAGCGAACATCTTAAGATTGTACATAATCTTTGACTGCTTTTGACATTTGTGGCCACTAGAAGTACCTGGATATTAGTTCCAAAGTTTTATTGTACCCAAAATGTCTTGATGTTGGAAAGTCATGACGAGCTTGAAGAACACATAATCGAGCTTCACCTTCTGGAACATATAGGCGTCCCTCAAAATATAGTAGATTCTTCTTGAATTCAAACTTGGAAGTATCATGAGACTTTGAAGGATTTCTCTTCATATCACCAATAAGAGGATCAGAAGACATACTTGACTGAACTTGCTTAATGAATTTTGAATCAACAGTTAGTGTTGATTTCATTGCTCGAAGATGAAGATGCTCTAGCTTCAAGAGAATTGTCCGTTGTTGATCGAAAGCAACATGTCCTTCCTTTGGTGCAAGATAAGATCGTCTAGAGAGTGCATCTGAAAAACCTTTTTACTTTCCTAGTCAATAAGTGATCTTGAATTTGAATCTTGACAAAGACATACTCCAATAGGCTTCGCGACGATTCAAAATACGTGCTGATATAAAATATTCAAGGTTCTTGTGATCCGTATATATTGTGACTGGGCTAGAAGCACCTTCTAGATAATGGAGCCATTCTTGAAATGAATCCATGATTGCAAAAAGTTCCTTGTCGTGGATCTCGTAGTTGATCTCGGTTGCTGAAAATTTCCTGGAATAAAAAGCTATTGGGTGAAGTTTATCATCTGTTCTCATTTGTGACAATACAGCACTCAAAGCAAAGTCTGATGCTTTTGTTTCTATAAAAAATGGCTTAGAAAAATCGACGCGATACAAGATTGGTGCAGAAACAAAGGTTGTCTTCAAAGCTTCAAATGCTACTTCTATTTTCTTGATTCCATTGAAGTTTGTCTTTGCATGTCAAACGTGTAAGTGGAGCTGCAACTTGAAAGAAGTCTTTGATGAAGATCCGATAGTAGTTGGCAAATCTTAATATTGGCTTGAAATGCCATTTGAAGTCTTTCCACTAATAGAAACAAGTGTAGCATAAATGATACAAGATGATCCTTCTTTTGCAGCATGCAAGAAAGCTCTGGCACCTACAAATATAGGTTTAATTATACTATACTTATGACTTTTTATTTGATTAACTACGCTCTTAGATATACTTTCAAAAAAGTCAAGACTACGAGAAGTCTAATCTATTTTAGAATTATATTTTTCTAGCCATAATAAACCTAAAATGACTGAATTATAAGAAGATCTAATGATATTAAATATTATAAAGCTACTATGACCATTAGTTTCTATTTCTATAGGAAGGATTTCATAAGTAACATCTCCTAAAGGGTTTCATTTATGCCACATCTGCTTTTACTGGTGGAAAGACTTCAAATGGCATTCCAAGATTTTCAAGATGTATTTGAGAAGAAGAATGCAGATACTCTTTCGGACCATCATTCCTATGACTGTTCAATTGACCTTCAAGAAGGAGTACAATCGATATTTGGACCAATCTACAATTTATCTCAAAATGAGTTGACTGAATTCAAGAATATATTGAAAAAAATCTAACCAAGAACTTCATACGTCATTCCAAATCTCCAACAAGAGCTCTAATTTTATTTGTGAAGAAAAAAGATTGATCACTTTGGATGTATGTCAATTAGCAAAGACTCAATAAAATCACTATAAAAAA